AGCTGAACAGCAAAATATATGTGAAGGTCATGTTAATTGTGGAGGATTCACTGCTTGTGTTGTAGAAGTGATCTCATATCGCGGTAAAAATTCTAGTAGATGAAGCTCATCTCTCTGGCAGAAGAAGAGGAAAAATTCTTTAAGAAAAGTAAAAAAAAATTATGAAAAATGTTTGTTTTCGACTACAAATGATAACGACTATAAAAACTACAGCGATCTTCGAACATTTGAAATGGCGCCGAAAATTTGGAATGATAACAAAAACAGTGTGACAATTAGTTTTTGTTGAGTTATTCATTTATTGATTGCTTCGATTTTTCTATAAATAATTACAAAAATAATCAAAATACAGTATCATTATAAGATATTTAAGTTGGTACCATAAATTTATCCCCCAGATCTTGCTATGAACATTTATTGTTAAGAAGTATTGGTTTCTGAGGAATAACTTAACAGTTGTCTCAGTTTGAGGTTTCGCTGATTCGAAATGTCGCGCAGTTGCAGTTTTCAACTGAGAATTGCCACATTCTATTAACACTTCAAATGCACATATAATGAAAGACTACAAGCATCAAAAATCACCGATTACCATTTCCATCCGATGAGGTCATTAGATTGATAGTTTGATTCAGGAATCACAAAGTTAAGAAGTTTTATTTAAAAGCAGAAGATCAAAAAACTTGTTTTTTGAACTATGCTGACTAAAATTTTGATATTACTAGTAATTTTCTGTGTAAGAACGAAATATACGAAGAACAGACATAGTCATATAGTCAATTGATAATTGAAGATTTGTGGATGATAGTGATTTGCTGATAACACTGTTGCCATCCAGTAACTACAATATAATCGATTATAACAAAAATCAATAATTCTCAGATCGAGAATTATTTAAGTGAAATTTTCTACACAGCATTTGTGTTTTCATAACTAAACATTTGTAATCGATTTGTCTAAGCGAAATTGAGTAATGATAATCGATTAATCAATAATTATTTAAGGATTAAACTCTGCAAGAGATTACTGTAATGTATAACAATTTTTTCTATTGTTAAAAGCAGTAAAATCTGGCATCGTGTTTAAATGCTCTCTGGTTGTTCATCATTTTGGGTTTGTCGAAAAAAACAATACCAAAGTGCATAAACTGATCCCGGAAGCCAGCCAAAAATACATAATATACCACATATTAACACATGAATCCGACAATACGATGTGTGAACGAATACTGCCAAAGGCTACAATTTTACGTGAACTCTACGTAAAAATAAAACATAAATTGATAACGAAAATAAAGGATTTATGTTTGCATCTGAAATGATTTAATAGAACAGCGGGATTTGTATCAAAAATTATTTTGTATTTTTGTAAATTTTTGATTTTGACTTACTTGTGATGGAGTTAAAAGAATATATTGCTCTGCAAAGTAATACATTTTACAAGAAAAGTGGATAATATACTTTTGATTACAAATTTGAATTGTATAATTTTGCATGCATTATTTGATTAAAATCTGAATGGTAAAGCAACACCAAAACTTGAAGAATATTGCAAAAGTATTTTTGTTTTCAAAGGTAACTTTATTTTGAACTGTAATAAAATTCAAAAATTAACAGATTACAGTAGGATAAAGTTTAAAGTTGTGAGAGGTTAATTCTGAGATAAAACCTTACAGGTAGTTCAAAGCAGAGAATAAATTCAGTAATATGCTGAGGTTCAATTTTCATTTCTACAAGTAAGTTTTGTCATGTTATGTACCTGAATCGCATCTGAAAAACAGCAAAAATTTTTATCGAACCTTTTCTTGTTCTTGAATTAATTTGAAAATACAAAAAGTTTTGAAAATTAAATTAATTCTCTCACTTTGAACAAAACAACAATTAATACCTGCTGAAAATTTTTGCTTATATCTGAGGTATTGTATATTTATTCAAATTGGCGTACAGTTCACTACCATAAACAATTTATCTGTAGTATTGCATTGAAGTTTACGTGTATTATTGAATCTATAGTAGAGTGTAATTTTGCTTTGAAAAAGATAAAGTAAATAAATGAATAAAATAATTAATTAATTAATTAATTAATTAAAAATGTTAAAAAAAGGCAACTTTGCTTTGAAAAAGATGAAGCAAATATATAATTAATTAATTGACTGATTAATTTATTCACTAATTAATGTTGTAAAGGCTATAAAAATTTTTTTCATAATATCTGTGATCAACAAAATATAAAATAAATTTTACAAATTTCATATCAAAAAAGATAATAAATTATTACAATGCTCAAGTTATTATTGAAAAACAAATTAAAGGAAACAGGAAATTTTGCAAGGCAATGTTTGCGAAAGTTAGTTATATTTTATAGAAGTAATACTAATTTTATTTTCACTTTATTTACAATTATTGCAAATTTATTAATGAATGATACTGGTTATTTATACAAACAAACAAACAAATGCAGTCAGTTCATGAAGATAAAACTAGTCTCGCACTATAAATATAAATTAATTAATTATTATACATTAATTCTGATAATTAAATTAGGAAAGTGCACATTACTTATTATTTGCAATCAATTTCAAATACTCATTTACTATTCAAAAATTTCAAAGTTTTAATTATGTTAATATTTCTCGCAATGATAAATGATTGTTTTCAATTAATTTAATTAATTTTTTCTTTAGTCATATGAAAGTTTGCTACGTAAATTTGCTGATGCTTGAAAATGGCGCTATTTTCAATAATTTTGTGATAAACATTACAGGAATACTTTGCTTACAACTACTGTACATTACAGTATACTAATTGCATACTTGCATAGCACTTTCTTGAAATATTACAAAGAAAGATTGATTCCTTCGGAAAATAAAGCATATGAAATTCATCGAATTACACATTTTTTGTGTACAGTACTATTTCTTAAAGCACTGTACATGGAATTAATTTAATACTATTTTAATGAGTGCATTATTTGTTCTATACAATATTTCTTGCTTTCTTCTGAGCAACCAGAAATTGTATATAAATATATGAAATTACGAAGTCAGCGACATAAAGCACTCAAGAATACACATCTCTGACAGTCCCATCTTACTGTACGTGCGTGATACGGTATTTTGAAAATCACATAACAAAGCAAACAACGACAACCGTACATTAAATAACGCTTTCTCGTAGTAATTCTAATTTTACCGTTTCATATTCTGACAGAAAAAAGACTTGCTACCGTAGAACTTCAGAGATGTTCAGAATTCGAAAAAGTTGAACAAATAAACTGAACTCTTAAAAGTTAAACAACATTCCAAAAAAATTTGACTCTTTAGCACTTTCTATGAAATAATAGACACACACTCTAACCACGTGAAGAAAATTACGCAAATTATAACTATCTGTAGGTGATGTCAGTGAAAGCAAAACAAATTATACTCAATGCGATAAAGTCAAAAAATTCAACACTTTATCATGTTGTATTCAGAATAAAACAACGCTGCAATTAAACAATAATAAATCATTCGTATAATAAAATCATAAAACAGACTGTAAGAATATCATTATAGTGAAATAAATCATAAATAATCTTTAATAAGACAAACATCACAACAAACAGATTTGGAGGAAAGGAATAAATGCTTATCTTATCAGTTGCGATGCAAAGTGAGTATCAATCCCATAAATGTTGTCTTTAAAATATGAAAGATAATTATGGCATAAAAACATTAATAAGCGATAATTACTTGATCAATTCATTCCAAAAAATAAAGTTCAATAAGAAAATGCGCAAATTTGCAATGTATCAAGAGGTCGCAGTAAAAATCAAAAAATAAAGTAAGCTTTTAATACAATCAAATCAGCAGTATCAAAACTTGAAACGCAATCTGTTTTGAACAGAATACACAGGTCATTTCGGATAAAACTATCAACTGGTCATACCAGTAATAAAACTTGTAAAACTTTCTAAGTCATACCAGTAATAAAATTTGTAAAACTTTCTAAGTCATACCAATAATGAAACTTGTAAAACTTTCTAAGTCATACCAATAATAAAACTCTAAAACTTTCTAAGCCATACCAATAATAAAACTTGTAAAACTTTCTAAGTCATACAATAATAAAACTTGTAAAACTTTCTAAGTCATACCAATAATAAAACTCTAAAACTTTCTAAGCCATACCAATAATAAAACTTGTAAAACTTTCTAAGTCATACCAGTAATAAAACTCTAAAACTTTCTAGGTCATACCAATAATAAAACTTGTAAAACTTTCTAAATGAAATGTCTAGACAGCAAAAATGTAAAACAGCTCAGCATACATTAAGAAGAAGTAATTATTATAAAAACCATTAATTTCTCACATTCATAGTGTCAACGGTTTTGCAAAGTATTCGTATCCAATTCTTACCGTTGACAAAAAGTATTACATAATTAGCAATATAAATAATTTGAATACTCGCCGGTAATAAGCTGATGCTAAAATATTCAATTATAATTTCGTAATTTCCTTCTTTTATAAAATTATCTAGGAAAATAATATAAGTATTTTTATGACGAATGACAAAGAAAAATCATTAATTAAAAATGCATAATAAAATAAATAGTTACTAAGATATCATCTCTTGTAAATATGCACAAATACTTGTTTTGAAAGACAGAAAAACTAAAAATTTCCAAAAACCCGTAGCAAAAAAATAACTCTTCAGAGTTTGCTACTTAGCTGAAGTAACAAGAAGATGAATCGTCAAATCTCAGATAACTTATAAAGTAAACTTAATTGCCGATGTTATCAAATTATCCATAACAAGGAAACCGTTTCATTAAAATAGAAATATATAACTAAAGTGCGATAAGTACTGGGCATTAAAAATGGATCAAAAGAAAGTGAATCTAAGCTTTACACTGTTAATGAAAAAACGATTTATGAGTACTACAAAAATTTGAAAGCGGTTATGTCTTTGACGTGCATGGGTCATTTTCTTTCTCGTCAACGTTGCTTTTATCTTTAACAGAATTATAACTAAGTCGTGGCCAATAACCCATGCAATCCGAAACACCACAACTGTAATACAGATTTTTTGAATTTGATTTCAAAAATTTGAAAGTATTTTGAAATTTTGAACAATTGAAAGTTGACTTACAAACATTTTCTGGATCCTTCTTCAGGCAGAATAACCGTATTTTCCTTCAGTTTCCCTTCAAAGTAGTTTAATGTCAGTTCTTCTCCTGTAATATTTTAATTGTTTAACCTCACAAAAAGCCTGAAGTAAACAACAGGTCAGCAACTAAAACCTCCTAACGGAAAAAATTTTTACACAAATAACTGGAAACTGTAACAATATTTTAATAAAACCTCGATCAATTCGGCGCCTGCTGAAAAGGCCAATTCGATGGAATGAGAGATCGAAACGTTCAACTCGTGCACAAATAGCAATTAGATTTGGATTACATGAGTGGTTGATGAATGCTGCTTCATTACCATAATTTTTCGCATCAATGACATACTTCATTTCACCATAGCCATCTAATTCAAACTGATATTTTTTATCAGGACGAGCATTACCTTCCGCAACAGTTAAAACCTTAAAACCAATCTATTGTACCGGAACAATTCAGCGAATTCATTATAAAGAACATTCCAATCAAAAGTTAGTACTCACTTCTCCAACATATTCCACAACAAAGGAATGTGCTGCTATAGTCTCTAACGCGAATAATCCCCATCCACATTTCTTGGTACGGACTATTGCAACTTTGTAACGCCGTCCATTCTTAAAATTATAAGATTATTCAGACAAGATATTCACGTACTAATTGAAAAGAAACTGACCTGAATCACTTTTGTTGGACAGTCACTGGAACACTGGCAATCATAACACTCCACAACAATTAATCCATATAAGTGATAATAGCATGGTCTAATACGTTTGTTCTTTGTATAAAAAAAGACTGATTTCGCCAACTGAAATATTAGTTAGATGAATGGTTTTATCATACCATTTACTCCATCAACTTTTCATATAATGGCATAAATGTAAAAACAAAATTCTTTACTTTCGGACAACAGTCGTTTGTACCTCCGCATTCTTCTGTTTTACAAGAACACGCTAAATAATCATGTTTCGTTTCGTCTATTATTTTTTGCACTGCAGGTGACCATTTGTTATTAATAAGATACTGTAAATGTTTTGTGAAAAGTATTTCAAAAAGAAAATAAGTGCTTTTTATCAAATAACGAGAGTATTTATGCTCAGGAAATGCATACTAAAACTTTCATTACTACTGCTATTATAGTGAGTAAGGAAATGAAATACTACTTCAATTTTAATAAAATTGGGCACAAATACTGAGACAGTTAAGAAAAATCTAAATAAATATAAAAAAATGTCTTCATACATAATTAGCAGTACAATAATAATGAATCATTATCATGTCACTCAAGAATTAAAATGTTCTTTTACGGCTGAATCACTGCTACGAAAGCAATAAAAACCTTAAAATTTCGTCTGCGTCTGACATGATCAATATCGTTACAAATGTACAAAATTTGACGACCATTTGCGAGCAAAATACTATTTATTTCGTTCTCCCACCGAATGAGGCTGTGTAATTGTGACAATTCTTTCTCTGTTTCCCAGTTTCGTTCACGGTGCAAAACGTAAGAAAGCGCTCTTTTTCGATCAAAATATTCTTTTGCCTAGAAAACACATTATGCAATCACATTTTTATACCTTACAAAATATCTGAAAATTTTATAGCTATCACTCACTAATTCGGAAATATTGTCAAACGTTTGTTTTCGTTGCCAAGAACTCATTCTATATGGCCATCCAACCCATTTGATATAATATAGCAAGCTACCTTTCTAAAAAAATTTCACAAACAAAATATTGCATAAATGCAGCAATGCAAAATTACATTCTGTAAAACAATAATCCAATCTATTCTTCGTAACAGAAATATAGCAGAATTCTGAATCGAAGCAAAATATTCTAGTCAAAAACATGAAAACTTAGTATTAAAAATATCATTTACTCCTGTCCTTTTAGAGGCGAGAATCCGTTCCACTTCATACACATCATTTTCAACTCTGCCAACGTCCATACTTGGTTCTACTTCTTCATCAGAAGTTTCATATTGCAAACGCTCGCTACTTGATGAGGAAGTCGATGACTGCTTTGAACTCTGAATTATATAACTGCTTGAATGATAAGTAGTGAGATAATTCAGCTTGAAAAGAAAGTGAAATTAACCCAGTCATAAAAGCGTTTTTTTGAAGAACTTTCAAGATTCATTGACGACGATTCTCCAGGTTGATTCGAAAAACTGAATGGATTTTTTCGTCTACGGCCGGAAACGGAATGCTGCACCACAGTTTTTTTTTTATCTGATTGCAACATCTTTGTTAAATGTGGTTTTATTGAGAGTGGTCTTAATGGTGAGTATTGATTCATGATTTTCAAAGTTAGAGGTCTTTCTCTAAGTGAATATCGCTCTACTTTTGAAGTACTGCGTTCGTATCTAACAACTTCACCACCGAGACCATCTGCATCGATAACAAATCCATATTCTTGATTAGAACAAGAACCAGAAACTAATATTGATTCCAAACATTGACTGCCATCTGTTTGGCCGATTAAATTGAATTTATGCGAAGAATGCAGAGCCAAAGAATCTTTAATATCTCTCAATACTACCCCAACCTCTGAGACACCATGTATTTCTCGAAGATAATCATCAGATTTCTTCTCATTAATAACTGGACCCAAATATTGAAGAGTCTTTGATTCGTCTTTGGAAACACCCTGATAATTTTCTGAAATATTAGAAATTGATGGCTTTGTATGTGTTTGTTGGGATTCGTTAATATCTTCTTTCGATGGTTCTAAGCTTGAAACAGCTAGCTTTTCAGATTTGTTTTCCATTTCACATGACTTACGGTTAGAGAAACTGGATCCATACGATAGATCATCCTATAAATTAAAACTTTTTTATCCTCTCTCATTCTCATTGAATGAATAGTATGAGACAGCACTACCATTTTCAGGATTTTCAGGATCAGAGCAGACAAAATTTAAGAACTCATCAAATTAAGAAGTTATTCAACTTAATAAATAAAGTCTTTTGATTATAAAAACAACCACCTCCGCATCTACAGCTTCTTGAAGACCGATTCCTCTGCTTGTATTTTCCAGGGTTTTTTCCGTACTGCAGCTAAAAACAAAGAAAAACATAAAATCATATTTGATATCATAAATTCCCATTCATATAAAAATGTGGTCTATATCATAAATATATAAGCTTTATAAATTTCTTCAAAGTGAATGTGATACATTTGACATAAAAAGTGGTCAAAAACTTGTTAAAATGAAGTAAGTACACAATGTGTCAATTATTTTGGCATAATTAATACTCTTAATACAACACACTAAAGTGAAAGTATTTCTTTGAAAAGATCCATACTGTCATCAACAACAAATGTTAACTAAATAAGGCAATTGCTCAAAACGAGTGCAATATGATTACCTGGAATTTTGAGATGATCGATGTATCATTTTTCTTTCTTGTGAAACACTTTGCCAAATTGACCTGTAACAATCTTAAAGTAAAAGATATTCTTATCGGTCACAAAAGTTGCATTAATTCTAATAAGAAGAGTATTTATATCACTGGTTGTATCAAATGAGTAGTTACATCAGATTTTTTGTACATGCTTTATTTACACATTAAGTAGGCTTTTGTAAAACCATAGCTTAAAGATCAAGAATGTAAGTAACAAACAAATATTACTTTTAAAAACCTGGTTTGACAACGAAAGCACTGCGACTTCAGTTAGGTAACAAGGTTAGCTGAAAATAATGCGTTAAAATTGCGCAATCCTTTTTGATAACTTCTTATATCAAATTTATCGTCTACCTAAGATCAGCCGTATATAGATATAATTAATTTGAATGCCTTGAAATTCCGCGGAAAGCGATTTGAAAATTCTTATCCCATACACATAAGCACTCAAACACTCAGATCACAACACAACAATTTAATACAAATATTTCAAAGATTCATTTAAAAAAAGGATATAACAGCTTAACATTATGTTCTCAAAGTGTCTTTAAGATCGCACCTAACAGTTTAACTCAATGAAATGAATAAAATTAACTCCCGACCTTTATTAAAAGCATAGTTGCTTGAAGTAGCAATAAATGACTTCCTTGTTAGTACAAGTGAACAAGTAAGTTAGTTGGTGTTATTCCTGCAACAAAAAATGGAAATTAGCACCATACAGAGAAATGATCGAATTTAATTTGATAGATCATAATTATGATTAACACAACCATTATATTTCTATATACTACTGCATAACTGATAATCGTACTGATTTCAATTACACAACGTAGAATGATTAACAAACATAAAAATACTAGTATGTACTTAGAAACTTCTTCGGTATTGTATATATAGTAGGTATGGGCAAAAGATTGACCAAGAATTTAGATGCAACTTCAAGCATAATATTTCCACCTTGTTACTGCAGTATTTCACGGATAGCAGACTTCCATTTTTTTTTTCTGTGCATTTTTGACCTTTGACTTGAACAAAATGTGTTTTATTTATAGTATTTGTATGATTTTAAAGTTTTAGGAGATTAGATTTTAATTACTTATTAATTTAATAGTTTATTTTATTCGTTTAATTTAATTAATTGCATTCATTTGGATTGGACATAAAGGAAGTATTGGTGTTCGTTTTAATAATTATATGAAAAAAGATTAAATTGATGAAAATAAATTGAAGAACCAAGTTTTGAATAGTATGATTCTATAGATAGTTCTTATTTTCAGTGGTTTCTAGAAATGATGTTGAGGCTATTCTGCAAAATGACCAATTAATCCAAAAAAATAGAACGCTGTTGTAAAATGGAATCAAAGTCGATCGATACAACATGCATCAAGGACGATGATGGTACTTCTGTTACTTGCTTATTATTTGATTAATAAAAGTAATTACGCAGACAAATATAACTTTAATGTAAATTTCTATTGTAATTGAAATATAAATTTTTTTTTTGCGACATTTGATAAAAACTACTAAGAAAATTTTCTGGAACCTTGAACTTAGTAATTGCAATTTATTGACTGCAGAATACTTTCTTCTTTTTTTTTTAAATTCATGTTTTTATCACTTTATAAATTTCAAATTCCTTAAAAATTTCATTATTTATACAGAATCAGATGAGTTGGATGAATTTTTCGATGCGACAGACAAAAGTTTCGATTGTGGAAACTCCGATTTTTATGATGATGATGTACAGTTTATCAGCCAAGAACCTTGTCTTTATTATGATCAAATAAAAGAAGACTATGACGAATTAGCGTTAATGCTTAATTCCACTTTAGCTAGCGAATATAATGGTGCTAATGCTGCGCGTATAATCGCTCATTTTTTGTTAGTCTTGATGTATATTATCATTTTATTATACTTTGATCTTGAGAAATAATATTTTCAGATATTGAAGAGAAGATGTGTTATGTGACATTTCATTCATAACTTTATTTTCAGTAGCGACTGGAAAATTGTGTTAGAAAACAAAGCAAATGATATGGGTTTTCCTGATGTTGATGCACTCCTGAAACACTGTGACTATATAGAACAAGTGTCATTTGTTAATGGTTGCGCTGTTTACAGGGCGGCTTGTAAACCGGAAAACGAGCATATTCTTCAGAGGGTTGCAGATTGCTACTTAGAGGAGCATCAGAAGTGGTTTTACCCTTTTAATTGTTAAAATCTTAAACTAGCATGTTGCACATCCTGTAAAAACATATTATTTTTCTTAAGTCTGCTGTAGATTGTTTTTATGAGTGATGACCATCTTTTGTAAGCAGATTTTTTGAAATGATCTTCTTCGAATGATTCAAAAGTCATCAAATCTGTTATTCATACGTATGATGTGAGAGAATCATGAAAATATGGAATTATGAAAAGTTCGGATTTCACTATTTCAGGAACGAAAAACGAAGAATCCAGAAGTTGATTGAGTTGAAAAACCCTGAAAACGCAAAAAATTATATTGAGGTTATAAATTTAGCAATATGATAGTAGTCTTATCAGTAATGTTTAGAAAGTTTCATTGATTTACCAGTTGCTTGAAAATGTGGTTAATAGACTGTACATAATATTGAAAGCTCATTATCGACATTTGTTTGACAAAATGTATTCTTATAAATTGGCAAATGATTGAATATAGGAAGAGAGTAATAATAGTCACTAACAATAACAAAATGAAAATCAACAGTAATTAAATTTCTGCCTTATTCGTAATTTATAAGACAATAAATTAAGCTGAGCAGACATTGAAAATTTCGATTAGAGCTTTCAATTCACAGTTCGGAAAATAATTGAATTTTAATCAGTGTTATTTGTATATGTATTCAGGGTAAACGCCGAATTCTTCAAATTTTAATGGATTTGAATGCATATGAAATAGATGTTGATTACGAATTCGTAAGAAAAGAATACATGAGACGTTATGAAGTCAGCCTAAATTCTTCGGTTAGTAATAGTTTTTATATTCATGAGTTCTACAGTTTACAGTTTTAATTTATTTCAATTATGCTGAAATTTTTAAAGCTTTTAAGGTTGCAGTCAGTCAGTTATACTTAATTTTATTTTTCTTCTACGATCAATTTAACTTTTAAGGAACATCATCGGTTATTCATGAATAGATCAGCATCGAAAAATTTATGCCGTGTTTTTGTTCAAGAAGTTACAATCACTAGCTATAATCCAATACACCTAAGACTCAAAAGTGCTTCTGTGAAGAGTAGGTCGTATTGATTACATCATGCACAGCATCTGTTTGCTTCATAGTTTATATTGCGATCTAATTTTCAGTGAGTGAATCTGAGATGAGATTTTCTGAAAGGTTATTTCTTGCTTGCAGTAAAAAGTCATTAACTTCGTTTTTCCTTGCTTGTAACAGTAAGTTACTGGCATTTGAAGAATCTCATGGTTGCATAAACTGTAAAAAAAATTTTTTTTGAGCCCTAAGTTCGTCTGCAAGTCTAGGTTCGTATGCAGTAAAATCTTTTACCATTTAATCTAGTTCCGGATGAAATAAATGAAGATCTACAAATATTGGCCAGTTCCGAAAATATTGAACTTCCAACATTTCCTACTAAAAATCAATCATGTCTTCCTGTTGCGGTACCAAAAAAAAGTATGGTCTTAACCTCTATTTTTTTCTGTTTCATGTTTCTTTTGTGATACTTTACAGCGAATGTTGATGTAAGAAGCTGTGAACAAGAAATCTGATATGCTTAAGTAAAAGATTTTAGTTCGCATTAAATGGTGAGAAATAAGGTACAGTGAGTAGTCAATCTCACTGTCTATTTTTGATTTCATTTGCAAATTAAATAATTATTATGGAATTTTTAGGTGTTATTCATTCAACATTTAAAAAACATGCACAATGTAGTAGTGGTCCAGATTATTTTTCGGAGAGAGTTTGACTATGTTTTCTTAACTTATGTTTTTTGATGAAATTATGAATTTTATCTGCTTCACGTTGCGTCAGTTCTTCGTTCTTTTACTGAAGAGATTTTCGATTTCAGAAATGATAGAATGTTTAGATGTTCTTAATAGTGGTGATGAATCCGGTTCCGCATCGAAGGTATGAATTACTTGTTCACTAATTCCTAATTTAAAATGAATGTAATGAGCTAAATTTTTGAGACAATATTCTGAGACTAAAATGATTCGAAACTTGCGTAGGATATGAAATATATTTCAATGAAACTTCAGAGCAATACTGTCTTTGAAGCAAGCCGAATAAAAAATGAACAAGTAATAAAGATTCATCATTTCTTCTTCAGTTATATTACTTCATTGGTTTTTTTGTAGTTCCTTTATTGAAGTATGAAAATTTGGTAGAATAGAATACGGACACTTAGCAATTTAAACAAAGTGAAATAGTGACACTTATTAATACTGAGTATGAATGGATACTATTCTTTGCATAATGCAAAGAATTTAGCTTTTGTGTTAAGGAAATGAGTGATGAGAAATCATCCAGTATTTTCAAAGCGGAGCAAGATGATTTTTTAAAAACAATCGATCGATCAACATATAAAAGATCTTCTTCGAGTCAAGGCAGTGAAAGCCATACGTGTATGTCAGTAAGTTCATAATTATATATTTTTCAATAAAGGGTTTCGTGATTTTTTTCTTCATCAAAAGAAACTCATTATATATTGACTTTGACGAAGCTTCTAGCTTTTCGAGCTTCTGTGACGAGCTCATGTGCATTAGTAGATAGTTTGAAAAATTGTACATTATGTGTCAAAAACATGATATTGTCTGAATGTTTCAGTTTTACGATAATTTTGATCACTTCATTGTTTGAGAAGAGAGATATTTGTGTATACAAAGTTTAAATTGGCTTTTTAAAGTTTATAAAGGTACTCGGTTATGTACTTGCTTGCTATTGTTGCTTTTAACTGATGACTCAAGAATGATTTCATAGTGTTTTCAGAGATACATGACGTATACTACTTCAATTCAGAAATTCAGTATTGTAAAGTCCTATAGCTTATACTAGGTTCGAAGGTTTCGGAGTTAAAGATACCACAAGAGTCATGTTATTTTAGCTTTGTTATTTTTACTGTTTCGAGAAAGATCTTTATAGGACCTGGGATTCCGAATGAATGACGATAAGTATACTGGTGATGAGGAGTCTTCGGACAGCAGTGATTCAGAAGTTAATATTTCTCGAAAACAAAAAAGGAGTTCAGGAAATAGAAATACATTCAACATTCCTCGAGTACTTTCAGATTCTCATCATGGGGTAATCATTTTTTATTTTTTATAATATCTATATTCACCTTGTTTTGAAAATTGCAGTTTTGTAACCGAGAAGTGATTTAAAAAACTTGCAAAATTGTTTTATGAATGTGATATCACATGTATAGGAAAATTCATTATCATGATATATCGACATCATAAAAGCTTTTCACAATCCTTACAATATTTTAAAAGCTGTTAGAAGATTTCGTGAACTCTGAAAGCATGCTGGTGCAATTTGTAGTTTTCATTGGTTGTCCAGTGAGACAAAATCGGATTAGAACGAGTTATTCAGGACTGAATTACTAATTAAAATGCATAAATTTTGCAACTTGAACGAAGCTAGATTAAGATATGGTCTCTCTCCTTTAGCATGATAAATTCATTTTATTTGGCGCAAAATTGTCGGAGTATTTTACTATAATTGCAATCTTTTATTTTCAGTATTTTAATTGGAGCGATGATCATAGGAAATTGAATAAGTTTCTATTTTTATCTTTCTAGTATGGAGGACGCTTAGCCAAACGTTCTTTGCAGCAATCACTGAAACATTCGACGTCAAATGAGCGGCATCAGTCTGCATCACAGTATTTTCCTAATGCTAGCGATAAAGCTACCGCTGGTGAAGACGCGTGTCCCGTTAGTCGTATTTAAAGATTGTTTATTGTTATTAGAATAGCGTAATTTGTGATCTAACTTTTGTTCATTTACCTGATTACTGTTTTTGATCTTGTTCAAGGTCGATTTATCATTTCTTCTTTTCTTTAATGTATCAGAATTAAGGAAGTAATTTTTGCGCCTTATTTATCCTATATTTTCTCATGTATATGATATAAGAAAATATACTTTATTTCCTAAATTTTCATGCATGTCATATTGTACTATAGTGAGAAATTTCTCTACAAAACATTGGGCTTCGTTTCGAACTATTTATCTACTAAATCATCGATATACATTTCTAGAGCAATTCAAGGCTATGATTTCAGGTTAATGCATATTCATCACCTGCAATTGGCTCCAAATGCCGTGATGAAGATAATAAAGCTGAATTTTCTGAGTATGGAAGTAGTGTCAGAAATCGCAATAAGGTAACTATTATTTAAATGATTATAATCACTTGTATAATTTTTTTATTTTTGTGCATAATTTTTTGTGATAATCAAAGTGGTATCTCATTTCAAAAAAACTTGTGTTCCTAAGGTTATAGTTACCGCATTTTTCTTAAAAATTTTTTTTTGAAGTAATAGAAAATCGGTTACAGTGTGATTGAAAAGGGTATTTGCTTGTGTCATTTCGTTAAAGGGTCAAAAAAGCACTGAAAGTTAAAATTTGCAGAACAGAATTTTTTTCATCTCACTTCAATTTGGTGATCAAGAGCATGCATTAAATTGATATAGTGTTAATCAGATTAATATTAACACAACTAATAGTTTATTTTCATGTTCTATTATTCTATTATTTTCATGTAATGCTTGTGTTTTAATATCTTTGTCATTTACTTTTCTCTTTAACTGATAATATTACTTTGCACTCATGGTAATGGCGGTTGTTTTCCCGTTAATTAAATTCAATTATTAATCATTTAAATGCCTTATTAATTCCTTGAGATATTAAACCTTATGAAAGGTAAACTGAACAAATTCGTTTCAGTGTCATCTACTTGTTCCTTTACTTCTCTGCATTTATTTTCTCCCTATTGATGAGATCAGATTGACATACTGTACTTTCGCGTGGTTAGGTGTTTGGAATATAGTGCTGTAAAAAGTGTACAATAACGGCTATGGTGATTTAGCGCTGTTTTGTTGCTAAAATAAAATTGGAATTGGATTTAAGCTTTAGGAAGATAAAGAAAGTGATTAGTTTCATGGCGTTATGCTGCTTACTATTTGTATTTTATTTCTCAAAATTTATACTTCTTTTGTACATGGATCATTTTGTGAAACATCTTCATGTTTGAGTAAGTGATAGGCAATTGATTCGATGTCCTTTAGGTTATTGAAAACTTTTGAAAGTAAGTAAAATGGTAGTTTAGAAAGTAAAGATTAAAATTATGCACAAAACTGCACGTTTAATGTTGATATTGCGAACGATGCGTGTTTTAATTCTCACTGAAGCATTAAAATTTTGTTCAGTAATTGTATCATTTTACGAATTTGCAGTTACAAAAAGTGCTATATTATTTCATGTCTACACAGCTTTAACTTTGCATTCTTCATTGATCAGTCATGAGTAAGCGACTGGTCTCGTCTGGCTTGCGTCAAGTATGTAGCGTATTTCTTCTCTACTATTTTCACCCTACATTGTGTATTACTTTGTTCGATTTTTCACTATCATTTGGCTCTTTTTTTACCAGAATACAAAGCTTATAACATCTTGGAATTAAACTTATCACAGTCATTCAAGCAGATAAATTACTACTAATAAAAGCTCTAGATAAGATTTGTCTTGCATGCTACTAATTAAAAACAAATAAATAAATATGTAATATAATGTAATTTAATATTTACATATTACAGGATTTGAATAATCTGCCATATGGATCATACAGCGTACCTAATTTTGCAGCCAATCAGAAAGATCGACAAGAAGGCATGTCATTTACCTTCACTTTTATATTCTATATACTGACATTAAAAAACTTTGAATGTAGTATCCAAAATAACGGTACTTTTTTTACAGGAAAGGCATCAGACAGTTCTCGAAAGAATGTTGCTAATGGCTGCCCAAAAAATTATTTTCCAAGTTCTTTTTTAAAATTTTCACTTTCTAGCAGAGTTAAAAATCCTTAGCAAGAATTAGTTGTCATTATCATTTGAAGAGATAATTGCAATTGTACTGAAAAGCATTGATATTATATAAGCGTGAATGTAATAAATTTTCAATATTCTAGGTTTGACAAGATTGTAATAATCATATCAAAATATACTCCTTGCTTCCATGATATTGATGTTTTGCAAACAAAGAATATAGGTGTATATCTAGTAATTTATTCTGTCATTAAATTTTATATTCATTAAATTTATGGTAATATTGCTGTCATACAAATTAAATATTTTAGGTAGTAATAATGTAAACTGTAATGATATTATTCTTCATATAAGAATTAGTTTTCATCATCATTTGCAAATATTAAATTATAGATCCTAATCGACTTGACCGAATGGTAGGAATGGAACAAGCACGGTCTTACCAACCAGCTAAACCTCAACCGTATAATTTGTAGAGTTTTTCAATATTGATGAAAATACTCCGTTTTATTAATCATGAAATAATTTGGAAAAAGATATTATAACCATTGTTATAAATTATGTTTTGAAATCATTCTGTAATTAGTAGTCGTATCTCTGTGCATTTCTAGTCCTGATAAGAAAGACGCAACACGGGAATACGTAACTAAGAACATATCTTCTAGTAATTCCGCTCCTCACGTTTCCAATAAAGTAAATTATACTCTCCCTTATGTCACTTTTTTTATTTTCATTGCTGTGAAAACTTATCTTAAGTTGTACATTTGTGTCCTTGATTGATTTCAGTTATCAGAAGGAACACAGACGGATGACGATTGGTTGGAGCAGGTACTGGCAGGTTTTGGGTCTTCTGTTGTGGTATTCGTTTTTAGCACTTGTAAACAACTATATTTTGACAAATGGCAGACTTTTAACATTGTGATTTTAGAGATTGTCAAATGTGATAGAAACTTTTGTCATTCAGTAATTTAACTTTTTAAGGCTTCGATAATCAGTCTTTTAGCGTTGTGATTTTAAAGATTTTCAAATGTGATGAACACTTTTTGAGACCTCAATAATTTAACAGGAGTTTGCTGGAAAAGATGTTTGTTTTCAATTTAGATCAAACGAATTTTAGATTGCTTTAGAGGCTTCTAAAATAATTTTATTTTTTGAAAAATTTCTAATTACTCATCTGACTTAAATGGATGAATTGGCACTTTCAGAATTCCAATCCACTTCAAAGACTATCAAATGTGATAAAAATGATTGTTGAAGCACGATCGCCAAACCCTGTTCTGGTGACATATTTTCTATATTAGAGTTTTTATGAAACTTTCCTGAATCATAAATTACAATATTTGGTTTGAGAGAATCAAGATTTTTTGTCCAAACGATGTGAATATTTTCCATTCCATAATTTAATTTATATTAAAAGTTTTGTAAAATAAATGTCACACCCTCGGATATTTAAAAAGCGGCGCGATATTATTGCTTTTTGATCTTACGGTTTTTAACAACAGCTTAAATAAACAGTAAGTATATGAGTGAAAGCACTGTATATGTATGCTTTAAAATGTAGATGTTTCAGCTTTCTGCGCTTCCACAAATCGTCGCTTCAGTTTATGGTGGTTTAATTGATCCAGAAAAAGATCAGTGTTATCGAAAAACTTGGAGGACTATAGTGAAGGAATACTGTGTCGGTGAAATAATTGTAGTACCATTACCAAATGGCGAGGTGAGTAAAAAGATTTATAATGAAATTAAAAATGTGTATGTTTTAAGATGCAAAGCCTGGCAATTGTTTACAAACGAATTGAAATAAGCCTCACTTCAAGAGATAAGTCTATGTTGTTTTAAACTTTAATTTGCAGGAAGTACTGATCAAGCAGTAATCTTATTCGCATTTGGGGCTAAAATTTGCCAATGATATGTCTTTCGATAGACGTATTACGATTTATTCTTTCTTTTGTAGTTCATATCTTAGGTGTGCTTTTTTTTGGAATTTGTAGTTTTTTGATTGTTGAAGTCGTTGCTTTGCAGTATGTGTTTAATTCAAGTTTTCATATAGCTATTTTTGATAGAAAAAAATAAAACGGAAAAGCAGGTGTTTTATTATACGTGTATAGATCGAACTATTAGTGATTTCTGATTTGTGTTTCTGTAGTGATGTGATTTTTTGTTGCGGAATATGTGATATGCGCTAAAATTTTCAAGAACATGTGTCATTAAAAATAAAGTTCGGCTTGGTTTCCGTTTTGTCAAGTAATTCAAAGGTTTTTACAACATTTCTGATTTAAGGATTTAAAAAACATAACCCCCTATGCTTAGAATATCCGGTTTTCTAGTTGGTAGTTGCTTTTGACGCATTCTGTAATATATAATGCTGATTGTTTTTAGTATGAGAATTCATAAATGAATATAAAATCTCCCATATTCTAAGGCTTTTCGTTCACTGTCATTATTAACTATTATCAGTGATTGCGAAGCAGTGATTTAGTGAAATTCTTGAGAGAAAGAATCAAGAATCATTCAAACATCCCTCCAAATTCCCGAAAATGGGTATGAAGTGTTGACAGAATGCGTCAACTTCAATCATTGAATGCAAACAATGCATGGCAAAGTGATCTGAAAGAGTATTTTTTTGATAAATCCAGCATTGGAATGTACACATATGCTGTGAGTAGTTGTTATCTGCTTTAAAAAAGTCAATATGAGAAATCATTAAAGCAAAGCACCTATAAAATCAATAAGCCTTTGGATGCAAAGAAATTTGCATATAACGAAGCAGCCATACCTCACGAGTACGATGCCATTATGGAGTAATAGACTTGCTTCAACAAGATTACTTGGCTTGCCTTTGTTTCTAATTAGTGACATTGTAACGTCCTTCGAAATTTCCTCCAGTAATTGATGATTCAGTCAGTATGAAAAAAAGAAAGGAAGATAGTAAAAGTCTGGAAATGAGTAGACTGATTCTCGAATCAAAAGAGTATTAGAAGGAAGGATACGTGTAATCTGAAGGAGAAATGGATGGAATTCCAAAAATATTCAAGTGAAATTGAGTGTGTGAGATTTTCATTTCTGTGAATTTGAAATTGGTAGCAAAGGTCAGAACAGAATGCTCGGTCATTTTTATGCTTCTGAAGCAGATGCACAAAATTAGCATA